ATACCTTCCAAATATTTCAAATGCACCCTCTCCACTGGGCATTATGTTTAGGGGAACAAGTAAATTTGAAGGGGATTTCTCCCTCATTTCGGTCGGTGAGAGTCCTTTATGTAGTCCTTGCTGGAGCCAGGCCTTATATGCGGAAGGGGGCACGATTCCTAGGAAGCGTTGCTTTAGATGATTTTACGGCTAAGCATTGCATACAAGAAACCCATGGCCAGGGGATTGTGGCGAATTTACAGTGTGAGTAATGCTATCGTAATATGGCAGAAATTGAAATGTGGAGCTCTTTGCTCACGTTCTTTTGCGTGGGATAATCCGCTAGTCTATATCTGATCAACGTTCTTATTTGCTGTGGACGTTACATGGTAGATCCAGACAGATAGAAAGATTCCCTGTTTTTCGCAGATATTTTAGCGTATTTATATCTAAAAATGCGAAACCTCATAAAGGGTGTCCCTTTGAGAATGTCGATAGCTTCTAAATTTTGCTTTTGAATTGTACAATGTTTAAGGAGACGCAAGGCTGAGCTGTACAATAATGTCGGGAAAATCTTTAGAGTTTTTTTTATCTTGAAGAAAAATCGGAGATAAAAGCAGTATTTTGAAATATCTAGTTTAGAGGTCATAGAAAGAAAAGGAATTTTGACAGTCATTATATTTTTTTGGCTCCCTTGTTGTTGTTTACTCATACATGTAGGTAAATTATATAATACAAAAGCAGTAGGCTGGTTAAACTTCAATGCTGTCCCACAATTATTATCAAGTAGTATCGGATTCAGGACCTACTAGAAACCTACTCTGATATTCGTCTTATTCGTCGGGATGGTAATTGCTTCTATCGCGCAGTTTTGGTTGCGCAGATTGAACTAATGCTCAACGATCGAGAGGAGTGTGCAAGGTGAGCTTGGTGCTTTTTTTCCTGCGCCGCTAAGAAGTTTCGCTAATGTATCTCCTTATGTTCTCTAGGTTCGAACAAATAAGCCGTGGATGGCAGGACCGACTTATCAAGCTTGGATACCCTGACTTTACTACTACTGACTTTTGCGAAGTGGTCAGTGGTTCTACCTAATTTGATTCAAGTTGTTCATTTTGTCTAGTGTCGTGAGGATGAGTATTAAGTTTTACAAATGGATGACTCCAATATGGACTCATCAGGCGGACAGGAAAAAGATTTTTGAAGACTTGAACGACGACGGTGAAGCTAACTACCTCATAATCTTTTTGAGGTATCCATCCATTTATTCTTTGCGATTTCATTAAGGGCTCGATTAGTTGCGTTTTTCAGATTGATCACTGCGGGATTCTTGAAGGAGCACTCGGAGGAGTATGCACCGTTTATTGAAGACTGTAGTCTCTCTGATTATTGTACTACAGAGATTGAATCAATGTGGAAGGACGCAGACCATCTTGCCGTCACGGGACTTGTGAACGCCATAGGTTAACTTCGTTTTATTTTTGCATTCTTTTACTTCGCATTAGTTTTTTTCGAGTAAAGGAAGTGCCTGGCGTGCTCTGATTTTCAGTAATCTTGTGGTGTA